ACAGAAAATTCTTTACTTCAAACTCGGTGGCACTGTAAATAAGGGATTCACACATAACAACAAATTTTTCTTGGAGGCACTAATTAATAATTTATAGATAATTAAAACTATTACAGTGAAATGTACCCAAATAAAAATAGCATTTATTTTTAAAAAGACAACAAAGTCCACCAGTTTTATATTTTTATTAGTGCTTCGAATTGTTCGAACAATAAACTGCCCGAGCATTTCAACTATAGTCGAATTCGAACATTTTATTCAAACACTAAGTGTTCGAAAATGCTGGAGCTGTTCAAAGATATTCTAATAATTTCAACAGCAATTCTGCTATGTACTTCATTATATTTCCGTTTCAAATGACATTCAAATGACATTCGAGCATATTTGAATGGTTCCAGTTTAGTCGTAATCTAGTATTGAAATGCTCATGTACAAATGTAATCAAACATTGAAGCGATGTATAGCTTAGTCGAACACTGAAAAGATCAAGTAGAAGCAAATGCTTGGTGTGAAATGCTTGAATAATATTTGGAGATCTAATATATATATTTGCTGATATTTGAAATGAGAATATATATTTCATTAAAGTATTCGGTTTCTAATAATTGCTGGTAAGAATATATGTTTAGTTGAAAAATAAATCTGATTTTTTTAAATAAAATTGAACCTTCCAAAATTATGACATATAAAACTATAATTCACTTTACAAATAACTCACAAAATACCAGAACTGATCAAATTTTACATATTCTCAAGATTGTTATACATTATTTTTATTTCAATGTAAGAACAGTACCAGTTCTAGGTAAATAATTTTTCAAAATATTACTAAATTCTTAACTAAATATATCACATAGATTAAAATATAAATATGAATCACACAATTCCCTGCACACTTAAATTTATATATATGAAGAAATGTATAATTCAAGGACTATGTAGTAATAATAAATGGATTTATGAAAATACCATATAAGCAAATTGGGGCCTAATTAAAGCTGGAAAATTTAGATGAATTATTAATAATGATATATAAATTATTTTATTGTCAAATAAATTATTAAGTAATGAGTTATAACAAAATTAAATATTAAAAAAAAATTATTTTACAAAATGAATTTATTTATTTTTATCAAAAGTGATATTAATAAAGCAAAATAGGTTAAAAAGTCGAATTTAAATTTAAGCGATTTTGCTTTTCTTTTCCAATACTAATACTTATACGTAACAGTAAATTTAGGATAAAATAGAGCACATATAATGTAATTTATTTTATATAAAAAAAATTTTTGTTTTTTTCTTAAAATTCTAAAAATATTTCTTTCTTTAGATTTCAGCAAAATGGCTTATTTCTCTTAATAAGAATTTGGGAATATTATGAAAACCAAGTAAAGCAATGAAAAATCTCCCGAATGCATATATAAATCAAGCTTTAGAATAATATATAAATGTAATATTATTTTCAATAAAATTTTTCAATGGATCATACATAAATGTCTAAATGATCTATAAAGAAATTTTTCTATATATTGTGATGCCTTATGTTACGTTTTGGGGCTTATGGGAGGGAATGTTAGGAAACATATTTTATAATTACTTTATAGTAACTAAAATAAAACTCATTAAATTATAACTATATTATTTTTGTCTTTTAATATTTTTTTATTGGTTTAATTATATATTTAAATTTTTTTTATAATAAATTATTGTTTGTTTTCTACAGTTTTAATAATTAAATATATAATGGTAACATACATGTTGATAAGAGTGTTAAGCTGACAAAATTATTATTGTATATTATTATAATATGGTTTATATAATAATTTCCATTCAATAATTTTACAAAATTGTAAAAATATTTTTTTTAAATTTTTGTTATTATAATTAAAATTTAATTAAATTTTAAATACTTTCATATATATACATATATGTGTATATTCATATATAAATGAAACATTTCCATTTAGCATATCAATAATGTAGTTGGACTTTAATTAAAGATGGTAACATAGTTAAAATAATATAAAACTATTACTTATTTTTCAATCCTAAATAGTAAACGGAAACCAAATTTTGGGCAGAATTTACAATTTTTTGTTTTATTTCGAAATTAAAATTTTATTTAAAGCTTTCTACTTTGCTTTAAAATAAAATAGTACAAATTTTTATAAACATAACATTAAGACTTCAAAATAAAATATTAAAAAAATAAAATATTAATAATAATATATAATATTAATAAAATAATAAAATATTTATAATTTTGAAACCTACATTTTTACAAAGCAAACCCGATTTCTAATTTTCGACTTATAGTCGTCCGCCACTAAATTATTATAAATTATAATTTTAAAAGTAATACATTTAGTAATATATATTGTAGTTTTATAATATATATATTTAAATATAAGATATTTTGACGTGTGTAAGATTGTTTCAATGTGTATTTAATATTTGTCATAAAAAGTGATTAATTTTACGAACGAATTGGTCCTTAAAAACCTTAAAATTGGAATTTTGACTTCTTCAAGAAGTTCTTTCTCTTAAAATATTTTTTATTTAAAAAAAATAATTTTTGCTATATTATTTTTTTTTATCACGCTACTACAACTACTAAAAATTTTTTTGCATTCTTTTCAAAAGGCTGACCAAATTAAAAATTTTAAATACTTGCGATTTAAAAATTTTTAATATTTCTTTATAATTAGTCATAGTTTAAATAAGTGAAATAATATTTAAAATGAAGAAAGTAATATAAAATTCAATATAATAAGTGTTTGAATAAGACATAACTATATATAAAAATCGTTCTATAATTTTAATAATTGATTATTCGCAGTGCATATCAAATACGATTAAAAAAAATTAAAGACTTTTAAATAAAATAAAAAAAAAGAAAATCAACATTATTTACCATATTAATAAAATCAGATATTAAATATATTCTTATTACAAAATTGCAGACAATTTATTTTAAATAAAGTTTTTTTTTTTGTTTCATTTTTTTTTTGGTTCCATTTTTTATTTTAATTTTGTTTGCTAAAATTAAATTATTATAATAAAATAAAAAAAATAAAAATTAATTACAATTACAATTTTTTAAAAATTTTGAACGTTAAAGAAAAACATGTCGTTTACATAAAAATATTAATTATATATAAAGTTATATAGAGAAGTCTTAGTGGTAGAAAATAATGTTGAGGATTTTTTTTAATTAATTAATTTGATTAATTATAAATTAATATAAATGTTAATAAATTTCTAAAAATAATAAATGAAAAAGGCAATAATAATTTTATATTTGTATGCACATATGATTTATATCATATAATTTTAATATTTTCATTACAGAATCAATGTCAGATAGATTCAACTTAATGTTTTTAAATTCAAACCACAATTTATCCATTTAAATATTAAATAAAGTAATGTATTAATTTTGTATAAGGACAAAATATACTTTTAAAACTAATTTTGACATTCACACAAATATTCGAAAATATAAACAGAAACATTTTTAATTTTGCAATTATTAAATTATATTTATTATCTTACAATGTAGTTACAAAATTTTATTTTGGTCTCATTTTTCAATTATATGTAAAATTTCATTTTTTAATACTAATCTTTAATTCGCGTTCAATATTTAATATATAATGCATTATTCCTAAATATATGTAATCAGTGTTCTATAATAATAATCATAATAATAATAATCATAATAATAATAATAATAATTAGTAAATATTTCATCAGCATTTAAAAATTATAATAAATTATATGAAATGATTATATTATAATTTTAATTATATTTAAATCAATTAAATATAATATGTTATATTGAAATACAAAATTTATTTTTGTAATTTATTTGTGTATATAAATTATTACTTCTTAAAAAACTGTTCTTTCTTATGTAGTTTAAATTCGATTAACGTCCTGATAGGACTTTATAAAAGTGGAAACTATTAGAGATTAAACGTTGAGTAAGACTGTTAAAGTACATTGTGACCGAAAAGTTTTCGGGAAATTTTAAATAAAACGCAAAATTCTTAATCTTCATCAATATTTATTTTATCTCCTTCAAAATATGCTCCATTAGAAGCGATACACAAATGCCAACGTTTCTTCCAATCATCAAAACATTTTTTTATAGGCGCTTTCCGGTATGGCTTTGAGTTCCCTCTGCGAATTCTGTTTTACGTCTTCTATGGATTCAAAACGCGTTCCTCTGAGTGGTAATTTGAGGTTGGGAAACAGGAAAAAGTCACACGGTGCAAGATCAGGTGAATACGGTGGCTGTTCGATGGTATTTATTGAATGTTTGGCCTTAAAATCGTTGATAATGTTGAACAAATTGAGGTGAATCGGAACAAGCCGGGCGTTGACACGTCGCATACACAAATTGTCCACCAAAATCAAACGAGCCATCTCACGACCGATGCCTAGCTCTCGTGCTATCTCTCTAACACTCACATGAGGATTTTTGAACACGATTTCCTTTGCCTTTTCAATGTTTTCGTCGGTGGTAGAGGTCGAAGGTCGTCCAGAACGCGGCATGTCTTCGACGGTCGTACGACAGTCCTGAAAGGCTTTGTACCACTCATAAACTTGAGTTTTCGATAAAACTGATTCCCCATAAGCCTTTTGTAGCATTCGCAACGATTCTGCACACGAAATTTCGTTCGAAAAACAAAATTTGATGCAAACTCTTTGTTCAATATTTTTTTCCATTGTTTTTTTCGCAACGCACTACTGAGGTGAACTGGTTTCAACAGCTGCCGTAAACGAACTGTCCGACAGATCGCGCTCATTTTTGGCATAGTAATTAAGGACAGTGCTGCCAAACTACATAAACTTAAAATATCGAAAAATATACAGCGCGCGAATTTTAAATGAGAATTTCCGAAAACTTTTCGGTCACAATGTATATCTGAATATTGATAAGAAATAAAATCTGTTTAAAATTGAAGTAATTACTTTCATAATATTTATTTATAAACATAAAGTGTTTACTTTCAAAATATAATTACTTTATGTAAGCGAAAATAATGTTATGGAAGGAAGGAACACCAAGGACTATATGTTAGAGAAACTCTCTACTAAAGCTAACTTCGGTTATAACGAAACTGAGTTGTTTTTTTTTGACTATTTTTAGAATTGATTTATAGATCTTAAAGTAGTAATTTTTTTGATATTTAATACTACTATCAGAGAATACTAGCAGAACTTGGAAATAAAGATTAAATACTAATCTTTTTTTTAAACATAAATAGTTTTGTGTTTTACTTTTATACTTTAGGCTTTAGATGTGAACATCTGTGATTCTATCCACTTGGGCTTGGGAGTCTCATTTACCACTTACAGTTCCATTGTAAGAAAATGCTTATAATAATGTCAATATGTTGACTAATAATAAACAAATTTATAAATTTTAATATGACAAACGGTCAAATGAGTTTTGTATCAATTTTATTGTGTACTTTTATTGAGTAAAAAATCAAATTTCGAAGGTCTACTGTGTGTGAGTCAAAATAAAAATATTGTTCCATGGAACCATTACCTTACATTATTCAGATATACTGTAATAGAAGATACTCGTATATTGGTGATGAAGTATTATATAAAAATATTATTGCTTACACAATATCTGCAATAGATTTTGAATTCTCATCAATCTACAGTTCTAATACATAAAGTCTATTCCTGAACGGATCTATATCTACCTCTACTGTTATGAGCATGATTTTCAAATTGCTTTGATATGCTTAAGGTAAACTAATAAATTTCTATGAAATTACAATTACAATAAAAAATAAATTATTCTGAACGTTAAGTTCATAATGTGTTGATTAGAAGCAATAATTCGAAAAAATACATTTTGGTCCTAAACAATATTTGTTAAATCAAAAATTTAATCCAAATTTGAAAATTTGATAAAACTCAAGCAACCGAGAAACTGCTTAAATATGGCAATAATTGCTTAAATATAAAATAAAGAATTTGGTTTAAGGAATAATATGTTACAATTCTTTTGAAAATACTGATATTTCACTTTTTATCCCTTTTCCAAAATATGGACTTCCATATATATATATCGATTTCTGCAAATTTCACAGATTTCTAGCGAGCACATCATCGATATAATGGACAAACTTAAAACTCAGATATAATTTAAAAATAATTTTTAAAACTATTTAATATTGAAAATACTTAGACCCATTGTCAATGCCATCGTAACTTTAGGCTTATTGACAATATCATTCAGACATGGTCACTTAATATGGATTGAATTTATTTCGTGATTTTTCATTTTCGGTATTTCCATCTGAATTATGATGGCTACGAAAGCGTGAAGATATAAAAGGTTTGGTGCGATGTACACCAGTTGTTTGTATTGGCGGGCCCCCAAGTGATGCAAGCCCACCAAGTAAATCGGTAAGACCACCTAGTGCACTAAGCGATGTGAGTGCGTTTATGGCGCCTGGTTTCGCTAGCAATTGCGCCAATGGTATGGCTGTGGCTAGCGAGCTAGCAGCGGCTGCTAAGGGATTGGTCAGCGTTGCCGTATTGTTAGAGTTTAGAGAATTGTTGCTATTGTTGGATGTGTTGTTTGTTGAGTTGGATGTTGCTGACAGTGTGGAATTACTTCCATTAGAATTTGTGTTGTTCGTGTTAATGTTGTTTGTGTTATTGATATTATTGCCTAAAGCTGTTGTATTACTATTAATGTTGTTGCCATTGCTGGTACTGTTGTTGTTGGTGCTGTTGGAATTTTGCGCTCCAGTGGTAATATTGGTTGTGCCATTCGCCTCTTGCAGATTGGCCTTCTGCAGTTCAACGCTGTAAAAGGGATAGAGAGAGAAAGAGAAAAGGAAAATAGGATATTGTTTGTATGGTGAAGTGATAAGGTTTTATTGTTTTGGTGATGTTTTGTTTTTTTTTATTTACTGGTGATTTTGTGGAATTGAGTTGGTTCGTTTAACATTTTTTTAAAATTAATTAAATAAAATTTTCTTTAAGGTTAAGGAGGGAATTTGGTGGATATTTTAGGATTAATGTTGTGTGGCGTTCAATTACGTTTTCAGGAAATAAAAATATCTTTTTGAATGTAAATATACATTATAAATTTTTTAAATGTGCGACTTTTAGTAAATTAATACTTTTTTTGAAAGTCTCAAAAAGGAATTTAAATTTTAACTAATCTTTAAATTATAATAAAATTTGGTTTTGTTTTAATACAAAAAATAAGCACGAAGACCCATTAGGATCTTAAAATAAAATTTTTAAAAATATAAGCTCTTACATTCAAATTAAATATTTTTATTTATGACAAGCGTTCGCTTTTTAGGGATATATGCAATTTGCACTGATCTGTATTCAACTTAATATAGGTGCGAAGCAGAACAAATATTATCTCTTAGTTCTATTATCATTATATTTAGTTTTACTGGTAAATAACAATTAAATATATATTATTTGAATTTAAAAGAATAATATGAATTTGGATGTGATACTTTTGCAACAGAATTAATGTTGAAATGAGAAAATTTCATTTTTTCTTAATGAATATGTACTTAAATACATGATGAACAAAAAATTTGTTTTAGTGACTACTATAATATGTAGTTAGAGATTGGGTCATTAATTAAAAACTTATCAACAAGTCAACTCCATGTGAAATTGAATAAATTATACAAAAATAAACAAAAATTAAGGATGTGAGGATATTAAGATGAATATTAGATTCTATATTTTGTATACACATCACATAAAAATCCTTTTATTATGCGTGCTATTTGTTAGTTATTAGTTGCGTTGTCACTTAAATCATAAAATGTGAATTGTTCAGACAGATATGATATCTTCCCTATAAATGCCATCTATGTATTAAAACTGCAAACTTCATTACGTGCTATTAATATAATACCCTTCCATATTGAACGCTTAATATTTTTACATTATCTTAACAGTTTCAAAGTAACTAAATTTTTTTTAATATAAACATCAAAGAACCTCCTTATACCTCTTAAACCGCATTTTGTTAATTTAAATTAATTTTTTTTTCTGTTTGTTATCAATTACAAATCAATTCGACAAAATGGCAACACATTTTTCGTTAAAACTCATTTAACAAGGCAAATTTCTAAGTTCTAAATTATTAAGCAATAAGAGTATTCCACTCACCTCATGTTGATTAAGTATTGCGCCAAAGCTACCGAATCCGGATTGCCGCTTATGGTGATAGTACGATCGGTGTTTCCACCTTCACGTTCTTCACAGTTCGAAATGCGAATCATTGCTCCAGAAATTTGACGGATTTCTGCGATCTTAGTGCCGCCTTTGCCAATAATGCATCCAATCAAATCATTTGAAACGGTCATCTCGTGTTGCTGTTGCTGTGCACGATTTGTGTTGGCGGTGCGCAGCTGCGATCCAGCCAAAGCTGCAAGAGCTACTTAAAGTTAAAATAGAAAATTACAATTATTATGTAGTTTTTTTTATATTTCTTAATTAATTATATTTCAAATTGTCGTAAGAATTTAAAACCAAACATTTTGATGATAATGAACAATGCAATTTGTTAAAAGCTAAATTAAATTGTTGTTTTGTGTACGTATTCTTATTCTTATTGTTACTATTTTTATGATTTGTACTTTCAAGTACGAAGTGAGTACACGATATATGGTTTTTCAAATAAAACTTATGTTCTTTGATACACTTGTTAAAATGTAATAAAATATATTGAAAAGATTGATTGTGCAGAGAAGCACAAAAATAGGAACTAAAAATTAATTGGGAACTACTATACACCGCAACTCAGATGGTGGCGTGCTTACCCCGGCGGTTTTACCCAATTATCAGGCTTTAAATAGACGTGAGCACCTTCAACGGTTTTAAAATGCGAACCTGATCCAAAGATCTTTTGAAATGCGGTTGCAGTCTTCTAAGAGTTACAGTGTCAATATGTCATAATTGTTTTAAAAAATATTAATATAAATGAAGTGAATAAATATGTAACAGTACATTACATATTAATTTTAAATAAAGTCCTCCAGGCTTACTTTTGTTACTGTAACACAGCTGATTTTAAAATAACACAACTGTAGAAGACCACAATAGATCGTTAATATCGGTATATGTTTCTTTTTTTTTGTATGCTTGGAGCGTTAAAGTAATATTGAGAAACAAATATTATTCATTAAAGTAAACTTCAAAAAGTCTATACTTGAGATTTTATCACTGTAAATTCAATATGTTTCAAATGTTATTATATCAACTTGAATTTAGAGAGGTTTCGAAAAGTAGTGAACTACAACAAAAATTCCTTTTTATATTATTTTTAGTTAATTAATTGGCTAACCATACAGCTGTTTCGAGCATTGCCAAATACCCATCAACGGTAGTCTTAGAATTATTTCTTGTATTTAAGGGTTTCTTATGCCTGCCAATTTTTAATTAATTATTATAAATACTACGGAAAACATAAATGGTATACACAAAAATAAGTATTTAATTGTGTGATTAAATTTTTTGTGAATGGAGTGATTTTCCTTTATATCAATATCTTATAGCAAAGTTTTAAAGCACTAAATATTTTTTTTTTATAATTTTTTTATAGTTTTGGAGCGCGAAACTTTCTTTTTAAATTAATAAAGCAGTGACATTTAAAAATGTCAAAAGTTTTAAATATTTTTGAAATAGTAAATTTGGTATACTAGATATGTTTAGTATAAAATACTAATTAAAAATTAAGTAATTTTTTAACAACAGTAGTAATTAATGAGATCTTTATTTAAGAGCAAATTTTTACTTCAATTTAAAATCCAAACTATTTTATTGAATAAATGTTAACAAATTTAATAATTGCCATTTAATAATACTTAAGCCATTTAATGCAAATTACCTGTTGGATTCAGCCCACCGGTATTAGCTGGTGTCATGCCAGCCAAACCTAAAGCAGCTAAGCTTGCCAATGGATTTTTAGCCACCTACAGAAATGCAGACAGATATATATATTTTTTTATTAACATAAAGTACATAAATTAAATAATTTTCAAGCAATTTTATAAAAAATATTATTAAATTATTAAAATTAAACACAACAATGGCAAACAAACAAAATTAGTCAAATGCAGTCAAAGAGTAAATATACAATTTTTTAAATTAAAACACCACAAAATTAATGAGTTCAAATATATAAGTAGAAATAATTAATTATAGAAATAATTAAAATAAATTAAAACATTTCAACATGAACAACAGAAATAGTTAATTACAAATTGCTATTGTTTTTTATTGTTGTTGTGACTGTACATTTTATTACTTTATAATATATCTTAAATATATTATACTATATATATATTTACAATAATAATAATAGTTTTTATCCCTCTATTTAGATATTACTTAAAATTTAATATATTTATAATTTTTTTTTTGTAAATAAAATTTTAGTAAATACACTTTATAAATTGTAAATTGACTTGTTTAAGCCAATTTATTGAGAGGAGCTTTATTTGGTAAATAAATGAGATATAATAAAGATTAATATTTTCAACTGATAAACAAATTTATATTGCAAATATAAGAAATGCAATAAATGCTAATATTTACCACAAATTATGGATAATTCAATATGCTTTCTATTAAGACTAAAATGTTAGACGAGATAATTTTCAATGCTTTTAATATTTAATGATATACATAAAATACAACATTTTTTATATACTATGTCAGTATATAAATATACGAAAATATATATGTAGTTGAAAACGATTTAAGCAAATAAATTTACATTATAAAATAAAAATTTAGACATAAAAATAAAGTTACATTTTTGTTTCCTGAAGTATGTATGCGTGTATGTGTGTACATAAAGTGTGGCTCTATTAGTGTAGTGAGTAGAGCAGAGTGCATTAACATAATAATTTAAAATTAAAAAACAAATAAAACACTAAAAACTTTTTGTTAATTAAACAAAACACAAGAAGGGAAGAGCATGCGTCTCAAGTGGAATGCAAAGTATCTATACGCAAAACTAAAACTGATGAGGCAAGGGTAAAAGGAGAGATAACAGAAGGGTATTACAAAATATTTATAGCTTTAACAGATATTCATATATATATATACTCTATTATGCTTCATTTTTTATTTTGTACTTTCTTAAGTTTTGTTAAGTATATATAGTAGTTTCATAAGCGGGAAGAAGGGCAGAATAACTTGTTGGCTGGGAGGAAGTTGGGGTTAAAACTACTTTCTTTGATAGAAATGCAGTCCAAATAAAGTTTAAAAGAAATATTGTACTTTGAATAAACAACAGTCAAGACACCAGTTTGGAAACGCAATTCAAGGGAAGTGGGGGTAATATGCATATATATGTAAAATAAATTATGGAAATCAAAAAATTCTTAAGACTACAGCAGAGCTTAAAATAGCACATAGAAATATGTTTTTTAAAGTCCAAACGCATATAAATATATTTATGAAAATAAAAGTACACAATTTACAATTTGGGTAATTTTTGACGACTTCGAAATTTACATTTACAGAAAGTTTAAATAAAATTTAATTAACTTTTGTGTATATATATTAATTTTAATATAAAATAAAAGTATTTTATTATACCCAAAACGACGTAATCCTACAGTAATATTTACAATTCAACAAATCTTTGCATTAAATGTATGTGAATGCTATTTACTCTTTCTGTATAGCATAATAATGCTACATTTAAGCAATTTTTCCAAATCAATCATATAGTTTTTGAGTTGAGTTTTTCTTTTACGAATTTATTTTTTTTCATTAATTCTCTACATATGGTAAATTGTATACCTTATATGTTTGATTTTAGTTCGTCAACTAGTTCGGACAACTAAGATTTTATTAAAGTAAAATAAAAGTTCAGACACCAAGAAAAATATAACATAAGGATTTTTTACAAAGGAATCTTAATACATAGGTATACAAATTTCATACTACAAAAGTGGATTGGGGACTAATATAAAATGGCGAACACTGTGAGTATACATACAGAAAATATAAACATAAAACCGAACCAGTAATTGTTGCAATACTAGGGAAAGGGGTTGACCAAAGTAATATATCAATTTGGGTTGTCAAATGAGGGGGATTGCAAACTAATTTTTGACTATTTTCTTAACCATAACTCACATCGGGTATTTGCTGAAGGTGATGGTGTGCTGGTACAGCTCCTGGCAAATGTGCCCCCTTTAACAAAGGATCCGTCAAACCTGATATACCAGCATGAAGACCACCGGTAGCCAAAGCAAGTGGAAATACTGGACAGGTCTAAATATTCAATGTTTTACATATGTTGCATCACAAGTTTATGTTGTCACAGTTATAATAATTAGAATTGATAGTGATGGTGTTGGTGTGGTTGGTTGTATTATTTGTAGTAGTAGTAATAGAAGTTAAAGTAGCAATTGTTATAGTTGTTGTAGTAGTTGTAGTAGTTGTTTAGGTTTGAAATATATGTTCAGTTTACGGTAACATAAAGAATTAAAGTTTTATTGCAATTGAAAATTTTATAAAATATTAAAAAAAAAAAAATAATAATAATAATAGCAAATAAAAAATATAATTATGTATGGTTATAAGGGGTGATAAATGTAGTATGAATTATTTATATATAATAAAACATAAACAATGATAAATTAAATAAATAAAATAAAATAAATTGTGTATTGAAAAGCAATTATTTTTCATTTTAATCGATTCCCCACCTGTGGGTATTTGTTTATCTGTTACTTAGAAATGAGTGAAATCTTATTAATTATTATTTAATTTTTGAGACAAACTATTTTGCTTAACTTTATAACAATTTACTATAATAATAAAACTACATTTTAATTCTACTCTTATGCATAAATTTGAGTCGATTTAAATAGTTTTTTAATTTCTAAACAATACATAATAATATGTATTTTATTTTATTTTTTGTATTATTAAACAAATATCTTTATAAGAATTGTAATAAATATACATATAATAGCTTTATTGTAATCAAATTGCATAGCATTTTTAATGTTAATACGTAAATACATAGTCAATGTTTTTTTATTAAATCGAATCAATTTTTGCAAATAAATAAATAAATAAAATTTTATCAAAGTAGTTTGTCACTTAGGTTTGCGCAGGAATAAATGCTAGGAAAACTACGCACTACAATGAAAGTACCTAGAAATATGTAGAGAAGCCATTTCTTATATATGCTTTAAGGTTTTATATATATATAAAATATGTTGACCACATTCATTTTTAAAGGACATTTTTTTTGTAATGAAAGTAGGAATGATGTTTATGCATAACAATAGAAATTACTCATTCTGCATGAACTCTAACGAATTGTTGCTGCATAGGAAAGCATAGAATTATGATTTACGAAGTGTATATAAAACGACAGTACTAGTTAAGTGACAGATTTATATCAAAAACTAGGAGGGATATTTACACTAAACCACAAATATATTATATATAATAATGTAGTTTTATGTATGCTTATTTATTATTTGGGTATTATTTTGCGGTACAATGTAATATATACGCTTTTAGTTACTTTTCAAGAGTGGATACGAAATGAATTGATTTAATTATATTTGATAGGATCAGAAAAATTATAGAAATGTGAGGGCTCGGGCAGAGGATTACTTTATATTATTGCTTTTGAAAAAGTTCATAATTTATAGGTATGGTCGGTCGGACGTTTATGGCAGGACTAAGAGATATATATTGACAAATAACAATAAATGCAATTTTTGTTTACAATATGACATTTAACAAATTTATTATTATCTGCTTTATTTATAATTTTTCGTGGTATATGCAGTTAAATTTATATTTATTTAAATTTAAGAGAGATATTTAAACAAATTACTAAACAAAGTAGGAATGGGAGGATAGAAAGTCCGTGTATTTGTAATTATTCTATAAATAAGTTGGTAATAAGGTTACATAAAAACAAAACTTATTTGTTCACATACTTTCCAACTGCACATGAGCCCTCGTATTCATCCTAAGGAAACGTAGCATTTATCAATCAATTCCAGTCTAAGGTCACGCAGAAGCAGAACTGAAACCATCAAGCACTACTTTTTAATGGCTTAGAGCTGAATATGATTTCTAGTTGTTCAAAAACCTTGGTTATAACTTTGTACCAGTTTCATTATCTGAAACACTGCCTGTTTTCTAAATCTTACGTTAAGAGACAACGTAGAACGAACTTAGCCTAAGAGAAAAGTGCAGAAGAAGAAACTAAAATACATAACAAAAATAAATCAAATTTTTTATTTATTATTGTCATTTATATGTAATATAAATTAAGGACTAATAACAAAAAGCAAGTGGGCTTAAAATTTACTAAACAGTGTTGGCAGACAGATTCATATTTGTGATAATAAAAACACAGCATAATATAAAATTTTGTAAAATTAAACTAAAATTTTAATTAAATTTATTGATAAAATTTTAGGTTATTAATTAAATTTTAATTTAATATATTGCAATTATAAAATTAAACTTAATGTTTAAAATTCAAATATAAATTTGTGTTTCTTTTCCCAATTACCAACACTGTTTATATTTAATGTTAGCAACTTTATTTATTATTGTTTATTTAATTACAAATAGTTTGATCGTAACACATATAGGTGCTCTCATTAATTAAATATATAAATGCACAATAGATGTGGGCACTAAATTAAAAAAAAAATTAAAGCACACAAGTTGATTTTTTTAATTGAAAATTTATGTAAATGTATAAAGAAGTTAAATTAAAATAAAAGAAAATATTGTCGGAAAATGTTATATGCAACATAAATATTAATTTGAGCCTTCCTTTTGCATATTTCGGAGCAAATAAAGAAAAAATTAAATGAAAATTAAATGGGTTTACCTCTTGTGCGGGTACAGCATAGTTGCCTTGGATGGTATATGCTTGCCCATTAGCTAAAATGACTGGTCCAGTTACTTGCGGTTTTGGTCTGTATGGTATAGTGGCACCTCTTGGTGGAGACTGCAGCAAATTACAATACACAAAATCAAATGAAAAAAATGTGAAAACTGATTAAAAACTTCAACACATATACTAATGAAAGAATATACAAACCTCCAACATAACAAGACAGATCTGATAGATACATTGGGTTATTTGCTCAGCAGTGCCACTTAAAGTGACGGCACGCTCTGTTGAGTTTGGCAACATTTCGCTGGCAACTTGTATAGAACAGTTTGTTGTCTGGCGTATTTCTTTAATTTTTGAACCACTCTTGCCTATTCAATTTGAATATAAAAAGAGAATTTTATTTTATTTATACACGTTGAGAAAAATTTTTTATGTAGGTTTACCAATTAATGATCCACATTGACTGGCGGGTACAATTAAACGAATTGGAATTTGAGTTTTTCCACCTTTGCCTACATCATTAAATTGTGAACACCACTAAAATTAAAGAAATTTATAAAATAAAATAAAACAAATTAAAAAAGATTATTAGTCTTACCTCCTCAAATTTCTTTGTAATGAGGGTAAATGCTGAAAAGATCGCACTGGTTGTTCCGGACACCGTTACAATACGTTCAGGACAGGAGCCATCAGAAATATTAATTTTGGCACCCGACTAAATTGAGGAATAATTAAATTTAAAAATTTTAGAATATATTTGAATAAACTTAGAATATAGAAACCTTACCTCTTCACGAAATCTGTTTACGATCTCACCCTTCTTGCCAATAATACTGCCAACTTCCTATAAATAAAGTAATTATCAAACATTAGTTCATGTATTACAAATATTAACTGTATAACTAGTCATATAAAATTAGAAAATAAAAAAAGATATATTACAGTTATAATCGTCAATTTTTTGAAAGAAATAAATATATCAAACACAACACAGTTTAAATATTTAGATATGATCCATTTGTGATTTTCCGCCCCCATTGCTTGTATAAAACAGGTACTCTACGAGTATTAAAAGAATTTATATTTCGTCAGGAGATAATTTTTTTCTTAGAATTTCAAATAAAACTATAGAAACTAAAACTGGTAGTCATCGCCCTCCATCAGGGAGCTTTGTGGCACCTTGATAATTTCATCAATGACAGTAAACATTGTAGTAAATTGTTATCAGTTTTATAATAATACACTGTATAGTGAAAATAAATCAAGTGGATAACTTATTCAGGTTTACAGATTATTTTATTTTAGAATTGACTGTCTAGAAGTACAAACTTTTTCCTACATTCAGATTGTATAATTGTTCAATAGAACGGATATCATTGTTTTGATTACGTTTGAAGTTATAGAACATACCCCAGTAAAATAATTATATGTGCAGTACTTAAAAACTAATTTAAACTTCAAAAAATTTTGTTAGGGTGAATTTAGTTTATTATTTGTTTTTATGTTTAGTAGTCTAATTAAAATAATAAAAAAATTTTATTCAAATTAATTTTTTTTAAGAGAAAAATTAACTTTATTTTAAATCTTCATAGAAAATATTTATATGTGCAATTCACATTTTTTGCTAAAAACAATTAAATATTTTATGTGATTCAATTTTTTTTATTTTTCAATAAGGTAATGTGTTTCCATTATTTATTTTTATTAACTGTATCCTAAGTGGCATTGAATCTACCAATTTTTTTAATAGTAGGAGGTCAATTTTGGCCCATTCGTCCAGTATATCCTTTTTCAGCTCTTTAAGAGTGTCGTATTGCTTCGAATAAGCATAAATATTGGCACTAAGGATACACCAAAGATCCTCTATTGAATTTATGTCAGAACTCATGGCCGGCCAATCTAGCAATGGGATGCTTCTCTCTTCAAAGAATTTCTTTTTGCACAAGAAACATGTATTGGAGCATTATCCTGTTGGAAAGTCCAATTATCTCCATGAATATTTTCAGCGAAATTTATCAGTTCGCTATCCAACAGATTTATGTATATTTCGGAATTCATTTTTGATAGTGCGAAGCATATATTAGACTTTTCCTTCCAGCTAAAGGCAGCCCACACCATTAGTGAACCACCACCATGGTTGCGTTTCTTGCAATTCTGACGTGGATGACGAATATCTCTCCAATATTTATGTTGACCATCTGGACCATCTAGATTAAACTTTTTTTCATCACTGAAAACAACTGTTTCGAACTCCTTGTCTCAAAACTTAATTTTGTCATAAAAAGCTAAACAAGCATTTTTATGTCTTTGTGTAAGGCACGATTTGGGAACTTTCGACTCATATTTTAGCTTTAAGTCTTTTTTCATAATTTGTTGAACGCATTTCCTAGTGATAGACAAATATAATGCATTTCTTATTTGTCTGGAACTCATCCTCTCATTGGTAGCAAGAAGCTGAATATGCCGTTTTGTTCGGTTGTTAATAGTTGGTAAGCGGCCGTCTCGCTTATAACACCATAGTTTTCGAGATTTTTTAAAAAGTTTATTATAGTATTCAGGTGTCTATAACCAGCAGCAGATATTTCGCCACTTTTCATCCCAGCAAGACTCATTTCAATAATCTTTCCGCACTCTTCACTTGAAAATTCCGTCCCACGCGGCATTTTTTATCTAAATTAATTAAAATAATAAATATTTATTAATAAATAATAAGCATTTTACTTACCAATTCTTCTTTACTCTTCAATACTTTAAAAAAAAAAACTTTATAATACACTTCACAACTTTATTTCCATTTACTGTTGACACTTCGAGAAGCAAAACAATTTTGCACATATAATTATTTTCTATTAAATTTGCTACCTATTGTTATTAATTATGATAACGGTACCACAAATAGTATACAAAAAAAACTCTATATATGTTTAGAGAAGTTAAACTCAACTACAGAATCAACTGTATATAAAAAAAATTAGTACCATTATTCTAAGAAGAGAATAACGAAAAACAAATTTTGCACATATAATTATTTTACAGGGGTATAAAATAATTTTAATACCAATTGTTTTCAATCGATATTATTTGATGAAATCTAAAATTTCTGTTATTATTTAAACTTTGTGAAGAACTTACAAAAAAATCTAACAATAATTTTGAGTCAAGGTAAATAACGATAAATGAATATTAAAAATCATATATATATCTGTATATATGAGTATAATATAAGTACATATGTTGGCAAAAACTCATAATTCATATGTTATGAATACATATAAAATGTTAAAATGATTTGGCATTTTTAATTAGTATTGAAAACATATTTGTTTTTAACCAAAATTTGTAGAATGGAATTATTTTATCTTAAAATAAGTTATATCTTTAAACAAAAAAATAAAAATTTTACTTGTAACTTTTATCAAAAAAAAAACATTCTAGAATTAGTTAGCAATTTTATTCTATTTCATATTTGACCTATTCACACCACTAGAAAAAACTAAAGTGTTTGTTGAAATATTTATTAAATATATATATATATCACGGTATATATATACGGTTATCAGAGTGAGTTATTACTTTTAGTTTATTTTGTTATGTGCTTTAGACCAATGAGTTTTGAAAACTTTTAGTAATTTTTTATTATTGGTTACGTCAATTTTTTGACTTACATCGGTAGTTACCATTTAAGTCTATAACATAAATTATAAAAGTATTTTAACAAAATGACCAAATCATTAATGAGTAATAATTTTAATAATAATATTAATTAAACATATAGCTTAAATAGCATACAAATACAAAAACACTTCATTTTCAATTATTTTCTGATACTAATTTTAAGTATAATATAAGTATAATATAAGTATAATATAATATAAATATTCAAAAAAAAATTGTAACTTTTGTCATATTATTTTTTTTTGTCAATTTTAATATAAAAAAGAATATATTTTGAACAAAAACAAAAATATAAAACTAATGGGCTGTCGTTAATCGGAATTTCACAAACTCAGCTTTGAAAACATAAACAAATACTAAGTATAATGGAATTATAAACTCAGCTTTTACAAACACAGCATTGAAAATATAAACAAATTCTAAGAATAATGGAATTATAATATAATGAAACTGTTTAATAATATAGATTTTCGCAAATAATCCACCAATTTCTTTCTAAATGATATGAACTCAAAACTAACCATTCAACAGAGAGTAATGTAGGGTTTCCAAAATAATTTTTATTTTTACCAACAATATTTAAAAAACTATCATTTATTAGTGTTTTGACTCCCAACGAGTTCTTGTAATCGAAAAATTGCATATGCAAAATGCTATATAATGCTAATAATATATTTCATTTTATCGGGACTATAGAAATCATAATAAACATAAATGCAGTGTTCAGATTACGAACTTCAAATAAATAAATTTTCGGATTTTCCAGAGCGTAAATTTACTTATAAGCTGTAGAAAGTTTCTTAAAATGATATATAAATAGCTATATGTTATAGTACATTCACACTGTCTCATTTAGATACTTGCTCATTTATATTAATCAGTGAATGTTCACATTATAATGAGCTCATTTATGAAGCTGATAGAACTTTTATAAACTTTTTACATACATTTTATTTTATATATTTATTACATATTCAATTAATAGAAACAATGATTTTATTAAATACTTAATTCCTCAGTGTCTTTGTTTAGAACTTAGCTGTTATTTGTTTATATTTTACATATTAAACATATGGTACATATTTCAAATTTAAGTAATTTCCCCTTATGGGAAATTTAAAGATTGCATTCGACATTTTACGCTGATTTTTCACTGAGTTGCTTTATTGGTAATGAGCTCAATTATATGAAAGCACTTTCTATGGTAAATCATCCTGATTAGTAGCTATAATGAGTAAAATCTTCTAAATGAGACAGTGTGAATGTGCTATTACTGTTATTGATGCATTATTGTACAAATATCTACAATAGCTAATGCATATATTCAAAATCTAGGAATCTACCAAATTTTTATGTATGATATAAATATCAATATTTTAAAATCTTAATTTTTTATGCAATATTAAGATATTTAAAAACCAACGATAGAAGAAAGATTTAAGAGAAGCTGTTATAATTTCAGTGCTTGCTCGCCTTTTAACCAAGAATTATAGTTTCTGTTATGGAATTCTGTTATTTTTTTTTTGCAACATCTGCAGTTTGCGTTTATTAAACAAAAACATAATTTAAATCACTATTTTCCCACAAAGTGCAGTAGAATATTATTAAAAAACAAAAAAAAAAAAAGAAATGAAAAAAAATAGTAGAATGAGATAAGTATATTTAATCATTTCAGTGGTGCAAAAAATGCACACTGAGTTCATTGAAGTGTCTTTAGTTCCTAAGTAGCAACGCATTTCAGAATATGTTTTCTTAGAGAGACACAATATTGGATCCGCTACATGTGTTACATTATTTATTGGTGCACTTCTTTTTAGGAAAGTAAATTTTTATGAAATAAAATACTTTTGTATATAAAAGAAATACATATTCTGATTTTAATTTGCAGACAATAGCGTCGCGACGTTGTCTACATGAGAAACATTAAGAAGTTTCACACTAATTTATAGTAAGTAAAGTACATACAAGCGCTTCACCAACATTACAACTCGTATTCGTCCCTTCCACGCCGAAAGCCTCAACTTAAATTAACATTCAATACCAAACAAAACTGACAATTTGGTTCTAATTTTTATTTGTTAATTTAATTTATTCATGTACGTACAATACTTAAGTTAATTATTTATAGGCGAATGCAGTTTGCATTTCGATCCAACTTCGACGTCGTCGACCGCATCGTCGAAACTAGCGCTAGCGCTAAGGTGTCATTCTTCTCGGTCTTCAACTAATTAAAATTGCATGATTATTTTCGTTTCAGAATCTAAAAAAATGTTCATTTGCATTATTATCGTATATTTCACAGATTCGTATTTGGGCTCTTCTGGGCTGGTTGTTGCGTTGCATCAGTTAATTTTATTTAAAAATATGCACTGCACAGACAGACAACGTGATCAATTATAGTGCACTTCATTTTCTCAATGCTAATTTTCAAATTTTAGATAATAAATTTTGTTTTTGCACAATTTTTAAAAATACGTACTTTGCAATAATTTGTTGAAATATTCTGGCAATAGTTTATTTATCTGTTGCAGATTAAAAAACCAATATTGTTTATGAAATAATAAAATTATATAAAGTGTAGGATTCATGTTAACCTTAAAGTGAAGAAATTTACAGAGAATCTGTATCAGAAACACTTAAAGCGATAATAAATTTTTAAGTACAAAATATTTACAAAAACATTTTAGTTTCGCTTATTTATTTTCTTTTAATTTTAAATAAAATCTTTTGTTTGCTTTTAAAATTTATGAAGCACAGAAACTGCTTAATATCTGGAGAGTAAATATTTGGCAATACCGTGACATCAAACTCATTTTATTTACTTGATAATGAAGTGCGAAAAAAACACAATTTTATATAGATGAACACTTATTTAATGTTATTTAAAGAATACACAAATTGTTATCTAACTATAGTAATCTCCTAATAAAATTTAGTGAATTTATCGAATTGACTTAAGAAATTCGCAAAAAAATTTTTACTTGTAATTATATTTGAAGATCTCAACACTGTCAAAATGATTTTAGTAAATTACTTAATTGTTATTCTCTTCATTAGAATAAGACATTTTCGAATTAATTTTTAATTTTTTCTTAAAGGAAGTATTATAAATTTTTAATATCTATTGATACAATAGAGGTAGGGTATTCACAATCTCGCGTAATAAGTTTCAGAACGGAGTAACATAATAAAAATTACCAACAACAACAACATTCATACGATGTACTTGCCTTTTGTTGTTGGTGTTACCATGTTATTTGAATACCGACCTCGTTATACAAGATTGTGAAGAGATTACGTAGAGCCCTAATATAAAACGTAGAGTAAGTTCTGATAAAAAATAATGTCTAACTTATGATTTAATTAAATTTAGATCAATATATGCTGACAAAATGAATGAAGTTTAATATTATTATGCTATCAATAACATCTCAAATTATCCCCAATAACTCCAGCTCATACCAATGATGCAAAAAAAAATTTAAAACATTGCTACTTATATTTCTTCAATACATTGGGATATACATTCACAAAATACTTCTTATAAGTAACGACAAACGATTGTCTATATCTTTTATAACAAGATTTCAGATGAAAATAATAAGTTACAAAAAAAAACAATTTCACTTTAATTGGAAAAATTCAAATTTCAAAAATATAAACTTGTATACAGGAAAATTTAATTTTCTTATCAGTATTTGAAACACTTACTCAACTATCTCCCAATTTATGGGTCTTAGCTTTATGTGGAATTCTGAAAGCTTCGCCAAATTCCCTACATATTGCAGTTATAAGCTCTTAGTTTAATGAAACTTTCGAAACAACCTTTGTTGTGTACTAAACTCTTGTTGGGGGTTTGAGAAGATCTGGAATATGAATATCACGAAAAGGCTGCTTGTTGCACACCAATTTATAGTATATTTCATTGCTTCTAGATGGTTCTTAAGCTGTGTGAACAGTCTGTCAGTTTAAAAGTTTGCAGTAATAA